GTCAGTCTCCTGTTTCTTGGCGAACCAAGAAACAACCTACTGTGGCACGCTCTTCTGCTGAGGCTGAATATCGTGCGATGGCTACTACATTATGCGAGTTGAAGTGGTTACATGGACTATTATCTACTCTTGGTGTGGCTCACTCTCAGCCTATGCGGTTACACTGTGACAGTCAATCTGCACTGCATATTGCGGCAAATCCGGTTTTTCACGAGCGCACTAAGCACATTGAGGTGGACTGCCACTTTGTTCGAGATGCTGTTCTTCAGGGTCTCATTTCTACTACTCATGTTCCTTCTGGGGCACAGCTCGCTGACATCTTCACCAAGGCGCTTGAGAAGCGTGAATTTGATTTCTTTCTTGGCAAGTTGGGCATTCGCAATCCGCATGCTCCAACTTGAGGGGGGGTGTTATTGTGTATATTTGTGTATTTACCGTATTAGCCTTAGGTTATATGTAGCCCTAATTTTATGTATATATTCGTGGTTTATAGAGAGTTGTATCATCCGATTGAGATGATTTTCAGTACAATATTCGTTTCATCTCTTTCATATCATTAGGAGAGAAGTTTTTCTTTTGAAAATGGAGAGGTGAGTAGTGTTATGTCGTGTGTTAAGATGTTAGTGGTCAAAAGACATGGTGGGTAGGGGTGAGGTAAAATATTTTTACTTTTGATATTTTTCTTCTTTCATAATTTTTTATTTTGATTTTTCTAATTTATTTTTCTCATTGTTTTGTTAATTTCGACCTTTTCTTTTATTTCATGATTATTTTTTTTATTTCTTTTTTACACTTAATTACTGAATTAATGTTTGAAAGGGAGAGTATTTCTACACATATTTTTACAGAAACATTCATCCTTTTAAAATGGTATAATAATACAATATAATATAATATAATATAATAATATTACTATAAACCATCTTTATTGCTGAGATTCAAGTGGTATAAACCATCTTAATAATTTAATAATAATAATCTTTATAATATAATAATAATAGTATATATAGATAGATACATGGATAGATAGATACATGCAGTAAGTTGTTTAGAATAAAGATTCTAATGTGTTGAGATGATATCAAGACCGAGTTGCTATTGTGTAGTGTATAATGCCATTACTTGCTCCATTTCCTAACTGAAACTTGTGTTGTCCTGAATAATCACTTGCTGAGATGAAGTTGCTTAAGTCATTCCAGAATCAGGAAACTATAGTGAGGCTTCATTACTAGCCTCAGAAGGAGCATAGCCTTTGATGGTGGTAAGTACCTGTTCATGTGTCCATTTCAACCTCATTATTTTGATCGAGTTTGCTGGAGATGAGCCGACTTTGAGAGATCAGTAATGACAAAGCTGAACTGTTTTGAAATCTTGAAATCATGAATGATTGGTATGAAACTTCCATGGTGAAGAAGAGAGTGATGAATAGAGGATTATCGGAGAAGAAGGATATCAGAGACACGACCTTAACCATGCTCTGATACCATAATGAAAATCTAGCAAAGCTAGAAGCTTTCGTTTCTAGCAAAAACTGATTAAGGTTCATGTTCGCAATGCGGCTTTCATTCACTGAATACAATGCAATATCATGATGCTCATATTTACAGCATTTACAGACAATCATTTGCTAAGGGATAAACCTAGGAATATTCCATATATCTACCACTTATGTCATGGCAGCTAAAATAGCTTGCACACATATTTAAAAGCGATGAACAAAAAGCGTGAGCAGTAGTCCATTCGTCCTTTTAATTTCTTTACTGATGAGAAGCCACAGCAATCTCATACTCGGCCATAGTTGGAGTAGTCTGCTTATACCAATACGAATTGGCACCCTCACTAGTCGTATAACTCGAACCACTCTGGAGATGACTCGGTGGTCCTAGCACATTATTGGGCCCTTTTGAAAACCAGTAGTTAAACGGATTAGGTGGCAGCATTATCTCAACCTCTCCTTCCAACATTTTCACCACCACACTCATCGTTGGCCTCAACTCGGGTGACTCCTGCACACACCAGAGTGCCACCCGAGCCATCCTCTCGGCATCAACCCTATCATTCTCCTCCATTGTCCCACACGCCTCTACCAACCCCATCAGATCTCCCCTCTCAAACTCCTCCCACACTTGCTTCGGAAACCAATCAAGGCTGTCCTCCGAGCTCTGCCTGCTGGGCCTCACGTTCCTCCGCCTCCCCACGATTTCAAACAGGAGGATCCCGAAGCTGTACACATCGCACTTGTAGCTTATGGGAAAGTTGAGGCGCAGGAACTCGGGCGCTAGGTACCCGGGGGTCCCTCTGTAGCCCGTGTTGCTCACGTGCGTGTCGTCTCTGTCGCATTGCTTGGCGAGCCCAAAATCGGCTACCTTGGGTGTGAAGTCCCTGTCGAGGAGCACGTTTCCGGGCTTGATGTCGTAGTGGATGATCCTCCGCCCGCACTCCTCGTGCAGGTACGCGATCCCCCTGGCGGTCCCCACGGCGATCTCGTGAAGCTTCTCCCATGGCAGCTGCTGGTCGGGGCTCGGAACAAACAGGTGCCTGTCCAGAGATCCGTTCTCCATGAACTCGTAGACGAGGGCGCTCATGAATTGGTCGTAGCAGAAGCCGTAGAGGCGGACGAGGTTCGCGTGGCGGGTCCTCGTGATGGCGCCGGTTTCGGCCATGAACTGCTCCTCGACGCTCTTGTATGTGGGGCCTGATCTGTTGAGAACCTTGACCGCAATCTTGGCGCCGTTGGGAAACTCGCCCTTGTACACCCGGCCGAAGCCCCCCGAGCCAAGGACCGTGGTGTAGTTGTTGGTGAAGGCACAGAGCTGTCGGGCTGTGAAGCGGAGCGGGTTCTCCTGGGCCAGCTCGATGAAGAATTTCTCTATGGTGGGGTTGTCGGCCTTATCCCAGGTTTGCAAGTGATTGGGGGCACCGGCACCGTTGAAGGGCAATATCGGCGGGGCCACAGCACCCCGTAGCTCGGATATGAATGCTTTCCTCTCCCGAATCTTCTCCCGACGTCGCCGACGAGCACAGACGCACGAAACGATCATGATTATCGCGAACACTAGCAACGAGATGACTATCCCACTAGCCATGAATTGCGTGCGTATACAAGTGTACAAGTAAGGAAATGAAAAAAAAAAAAAAAAAAAAA